GGTAACTGTGAACAACAAGCGGCTGTCTAAGGCACTGGCATTAACAGGTTGAGATAGCAGAACAGTCTTTATTTCTAGCTGATTGACTATGCCTCAGTCCATAAGGCTTTCGTCAGCCCCTGAGTCTATTAACACACCCTGGTCAATGGCCTGATTGTTAATACAAATATTTACCTGAGTAACAGGTCGAGGAGGAAAGTCTACGGGAAACTTGCTCACCAGCGCCCTCCTTTTGACTGGTGAGCTCGATCTTTTCCCAGGCATGAAGCGAGTTGATGATCCAGCTGGCCGCAGTAGAAACAACCCTCCCGTAGACGGCGCTGCCTCTTCTCTAGAGAAAGCCTGGAAATCCTCAGCTGGCGGCGCGACCCTCCGAGACGAATCCTGGAAGCTGGGAATAACATCTCGGTTGCGTCGACGCTCCCTCTCTCTTTCCCGAAGACGGTTATCGATCTGGATGGCCACAGCGATGAGGGATTCCAGATCCCGGGGTGTCTCCAGTAGAGCCAGCTGGTCCTTTATCGGTTCCGAAAGTCCCGTCATGAAGGCGTCACGAAGAGCCGGAACATTCCATCCGCTGTCCGCTGCTGCTGTACGAAACTCGATGGCATAATCAACCACCTGATGGTTGAGCTGACGTATTTGAAACAGTCTTCTGCTGGCCTCTGTAGCAGGTGATGAGTGGTCAAAAATGCGACTCATAGTCTCTATGAAATCGGCCAATGAGTAACATAGTTCGGTGTCTCTAGACCATTCTGCAGTAGCCCAGGCTGCAGCTCTTCCCGTTAAGTGAGACAAGATAAACGCCACTTTACCATGGTCAGATGAAAAAGCTCCTGGGTTGTGTTGAAAATGCAGATCGCACTGTATCAGAAAGGCTCTGCAATTCGAGGAGTCTCCGGAAAATCTCTTCGGAAGAGCCAGCCGTAAAGGGGAAGAAACAGCCTGATTTGGGTAAACTGTGTCAGCTGGAGTATTGACAGGCAACTTCTCAGCTGTGGATGACGTCACCGGAAGAACAGTCTGTTGGTGAGTGAAAAAATGATTCATTTGGGCAACCAGTTGTTGCATCTGTGTAGAAATGTTTTCTTGATAATCTGCCTGGCGTCCTTCTAGCTCTTTCCTTTCCTGGGCAGCTATGCCCAGCTGTTCCTCATGGTGATAAATCCTCACGCCGTGTGCTGACAGGGCGGCGTGAAGCGTTCTTGGGTCGGCTGGGTCCATAATGGTCAGTTCGTTCTGTTATGAACTCAGACACTTAGGATGTAGGACACAATTGCACGACCCGGGAGACAGAGGTAAAGTATTTGTAATATACTTGATTTTTCCAAAATACAGCAATAACAACAAAAAAGGTCACTATCAAATCTCAAGTTTGAGATGACAAAAATGGAGAACCAAATGAAAGCGCTCACGTAGTGAGGAACACAAACTTTTCCAGAGCATAGACCTGACCATGGCAAGAGACAAGACGAACTGACGAGGAACACTGGGAGACAGGGACATTTAACCACATGACAATGAGAAACAGGTGTGAACATTCAGGGGCGGGACTGACGCTGATGAGCACAGGAGACACATGCCAGGTGAAAACAATCAGGAAGACTGGAATGAGAGATAACTGGTGAGTGAGAAAACAAACATAAAACAACATGAACCTCTAACATTTCTGTCGGTGCACAACAGATTGATCCATTCAAAAAACACGCATTTTAAAAGGTTTTTCGCTTGCCGCCTTGTCTGCACACTTGTCAAAGCATTAATTCATGTTTTTTACTAACCGGTATCAGTATGTAGTTACTTCAGCTGTTCAGCATCATTTTGAAACGTGTATTACAATTAAATCACTGTAAAATAGGTTAATTTTGTCGTAGTTGGTTTCCACCACAGTATTTACATGGAAATAAGCCCCGCCCCCTCTCCAGCGTGTCCTGTTTGAATGACAGGAGTAAACACAGCTGACAGCTGCGGTGAAACTCCAGCGGTTAGAGCAATGCGAATATTTGCATCACGTCCGTTGTGAACGCAGTATAATGCAGTTCAGAAACCACTGTTCTGACGCTTTTAAAACAACTTCGAGATTTTAACAGTATCAGGGGCACACAGGCCATGGTGGCCGTAGGACGTACAATTATTTGTGGGGCATAACCCCATGGGCATAACGGCCAGACGGAGGGGCTACGACGGCCATGGCCGTCATGGCCGCCGTGAGAATCCTACCCTGGTCTCAGGGTATCTTAATATTTAAGAACCTATTAGTGTGTTATACCAGATTAACGGGAAGAATCTCAGCAAACTGACGATGCAAACCATTTTTACCAAAACAAAACAAAACAAAAGTCTCATAAGAAGCATCTAAGCACACCTGAGCGAAAAATGCTAACGCACTTTGGCACAGAACTCAAGATAAAAGATACCCTTATTACTTATCATAGCTACACATACAAGATATCCGATTAAAGCTGAGGTTCCACAGATTATTTAGGTATATATATCATCACTGAGTGATCCGAACTCGCGAAAGGGGAAGCAAACACAGACATCACAACACGTACCTTTACGGAGCTTTTACGGGAGATCATCTCACCGTAGCTGTCAATCTGATCAAAAGACTTGTTCAATGGCATTAAAACGAGAAAAACGCGGCTGAATCGGTTAATCCATAGGTTGATAATGTTTCTGTGGAATATTTTTTAAAATTTATAATCCATAATTCTATTTCTATGTAAATATCGGAGAGTAAAAGTTAGCTGCTAATGGTAGCCACCAGAGTTATCGCAACTTCCGGTTTTGGCTATGCGTCAGTCACACACACAAATTACCAAATAAGGACTATGTGGGAGTTCCCCTCGATTCCATTGGCTCTGACAGTTAGAAGGAGATGTCAATCAGCAAAATCGAGCAAGGGGGGGGGCCAGAGATAGGTCAAATCCACCCAAATGACCCCAGAAGTGGGTCTTTTTTGCTAAATCTCTCTAAAAAGGTCAAATTTCACTTGTTTTGTATCAATCTTGATACAGGGTACTTATTATATGTTGTAGTTTGGATTCCTAAAGCTTCTAGTCTAACATCCCATCATTCAAGGGTGGTTTCCTACGGTGGCCGGCAGGTGCAAACGCGGAACCACGGCCCAAAACGCATACATTAGCAGGAAACACCTGCAAATAATGAAATGAAAAACAAACAAACCCTGAAAACAAATACAACAGAAAAACGCTGCATTTACAGAAATGATGCAAACTAAATACAACACACAAACCCCGAAAACAAACGCAACAAAAAAACGCTGCAAATACCAAAACGATATACAAATCCCAAAACACATACAAATCCCAAAACACATACAAAAAAAAAACATTCCGGAAGTGCTCCAGGCCTCTAGGGGGCGCGCTACGTGGAGCAGATTGATGTCTGACCAGACATAGAGAGAACGAACAAGAGTGATGGAAATCAGAAGGAAAGAAAGTTCATTTAAGTGGAGAAAGATATAAGAAGGTAAGTTTTGTTTTGTTTTTATACATAGAGCGTCATATATATATATATAAAACTAGCTAGCGTGACTACTACACCAGCTGAGGAGAGGAGAGCTTCACGTGAAGAGAAGATAAAGTAAGGGAAGAAGAGATGACAAATCAAGTGCAGGCAAATAACACAGGCCATAGTGAGTACCGCGGAAAAAGGACATTTGAATTCTTAGCAGTTTGTTTATATGTATGTATTTGTGTATAGATGTTGCAACTATACAGAGCTTTAACAATTGTCTGTAACTATGGTCATGCTAATAAAGCTATTGAATTGAGAGAGAAAGAGAGAGAGAGAAGTGACAAAATGTGAAGAGGAACAAAGTAATGACAGGATAGTAGTGTGCATTAGACATGCTCAAGAACAAATATAGAGAAGACATTCAAGGAGAGAGTGACAAAACACAGATTCAACAGTAAACATGATGTATCTTTCTATTTATTTAGCTAACCAATGACGTGATGTTTCCTTCGCATTCTCAGGCATTCCATAAGGAGGGTCAGGAACTCACGCTTGGGACCACCAGTGTCCACGCCATCCTCAGTTTGTCCCTCATCATCAGTGAACTTAATTGACATCAGGACTGGCACCTTTGAAGCCGCGGATTGCTCCATCCCACACATTGGCTCCATTAATACTGAACCTGCTGCAAGATGTATTTGTTATTTTTGCAGAAAGTTCTGCAACAATGTCCTCCGCAGTCAGGTATTCTGTGCTGGGAAAGATAAAGTGATGTATTGTAATATGAAATGATGAAGCAAGTAATAAGATTTACAGTATAGAATAGAAAAATTAAGTGGTAATAGTAACAATTAATACCGTTGCTCCATTTTGTCTTCTGGCTCAGACTGGCTATCAATAATGATAAGTGCATACACAGTTGTGTAGTTGCTGCAGTGAGAAGACAGTTGAATCATTATTTTCAAATACATAATATATGCATGACAGTCATATTTACAAAAAGATGTCGATCCTCTTCCTGTTTTTCAATACATTGGGTTCTAAACTGACAACAGCACTTTTGTCATACTCCTGCACAATCCTTGTAAACATTTGAAATGGATACAACAAACAATATCTGATCTTTGAAAAAATATGTGTGGGTGTTTTTTCTATCGTCTTCACTAAGATGTTGTGGGTGTCATTTGGAAATGTATAAAAGTATAATTGTTCTGCTTCCTGGCAATGTTACCCACTGTGATTGGAGGCTATACAAACAAAGAAATGTACAAATAAAGATACACACCAAACAACTGTGTCACGATGCAACTGTCAACATCGTTTACCTATAGAAGTGGTTCTGACCCGGGGGAGATTGGACCTCTTCCTGGAATGGGGTTGGTGCTCCATCCTATTTTTACCCAGGAAATAAATGCAGTTGATCTAATGACAGTGTCATTAGCACACAAAGGTATTTATTGATTTCATGTTCACAAATTCAAACCTACATGGTATAATTACATTTTTAATTAGTCTTGCCCGATCAGACGCTGGTTGTGGGTGCCTGAGAGGTCTGATAAAGGTAAACAACAAATCTACTCAAACTACTGTTAAAACATTCTGCTTCTTGTGGCACAAAATAATATGTTGACAATGTTTTATTTTACCCTGGCAAACTGTTGTCCATTCGTGAAGTGCTCACTTTTGGAACATTTGGAATGTCCCACACCTGCATACACACAAATGACTGACTGAAATAAAAATAAATTCACTTTAATTAAGAATAAATGCCACGATAAATCCAAACAGACCAAGGTACATTATATTGTTGACCGTCCTTTAACTCTCACATTAGGATTTATATTGGGGCACAATAAACCAACTCTGCACCTATAATATATCTATATGATGTCAAGAGTTACATTTAGTTCACATTATATATATGCTTCCGTTAGGCAATATTATAAGGAATCATTCTGTAAACTTTCATTGTTATGCGGATGATACTCAACTATATTTATCAATCAAGCCTGATGAAATTAATCATCTAAATAAAATTCAAGACTGCCTCAAGGACTTAAAAACGTGGATGACCTTAAACTTTTTGATGTTAAACATGACCAAAAGTGAAGTTATTATACTCGGCCCGAAGAATCTACGAAACAAATTATCTAAAGATATACTAACTATGGATGGCATTAATTTGGCCTCCAGTGAGACTGTAAGGAATCTTGGTGTTATATTTGATCAGGATTTATCCTTTAACGCCCACATAAAATCAATTTCAAGGACCGTCTACTTCCATCTACGTAACATTGCAAAAATCAGGCATATCTTGCCTCAAAACGATGCAGAGAAACTAGTCCATGCATTTGTTACTTCAAGGCTGGATTATTGTAACTCATTATTATCAGGGTGTACCAAGAAGTCAGTCAAGTCGCTTCAGCTGATTCAAAATGCTGCAGCTCGTGTACTAACCAGAGTTAGGAAAAGGGACCACATTACTCCTGTTCTGGCTGCCTTACACTGGCTCCCTATAGAACACAGGATAGAATTTAAAATTCTTCTTCTCGCCTACAAAGCCCTTAATGGGCAGGCGCCATCTTACCTTAAATAACTCATTATACCCTACTGTCCTACTAGGCCATTGCGTTCCAAGAATGCAGGGTTGTTGGTTGTTCCTAGAGTCTCTAAAAGTACAATGGGAGCCAGAGCCTTTTCTTATCAAGCTCCACATTTGTGGAATCAGCTTCCAGTTTGTGTTTGGGCAGCAGACACCCTATCCGTTTTAAGAGTGCGCTTAAGACCTTCCTTTTTGATAAAGCTTATAGTTAGGGCTGATTAGATTCAGCCCCTAGTTTTGCTGATATAGGCTTAGTTTGTCGGGGGACATCTTACTTCTTCCTTCTCTCTGTCTATACCTGTGTACTCATGTTCCGATTAACCCAGCTTCCCCAAATTTCTTTCTTTTTGGTGTCTATATACGCCGGGATCCGGAGTCATGGATGATCCTGCGGTCCTGGATCTTGAGTCGTGGCTGTGGTCCTGGATCATAGGTCCTGGATGGATATCCTCATGGATTCATCTTCCTATTATACACACATGCATTTCCAAACATTTGGACTACCTATGTTGCAAATGTATTATCTTTTCAATTTACACACGGCATCTATTGCACGTCTGTCCGTCCTGGGAGAGGGATCCCTCCTCTGTTGCTCTCCCTGAGGTTTCTCCCATGTTTCCCTTTAAACTGTGGGTTTTCTCCGGAAGTTTTTCCTTGTACGATGTGAGGGTCTAAGGACAGAGGGTGTCGTATTGTCATACTGATATTCTGTACACACTGTGAAGACCACTGAGACAAATGTAACATTTGTGATATTGGGCTATATAAATAAACATTGATTGATTGATTGATTGATTGAGGTGCACAGTGCTGTCTCTTGACTTGCAAGCTCTTTTACCAAACAAGCTAACGCTAGCTGGGTAAATGTGACGCTCTTTGTATCAAAACAAAACGTACCTTCTTATATATCGACTTTTTCCACTTCGATCAACTTTGTTTCCTCCGGCTTCAATTTGCAGCACTCTTGTTCGTTCTCTCTATGTCTGGTCAGACATCAATCTGTTCCACGTAGCGCGCCCCCTAGAGGCCTGGAGCACTTCCGGAATGTTTTTTTTGTATGTGTTTTGGGATTTGTATGTGCTTTGGACTTTGCATATCGTTTTGGTATTTGCAGTGTTTTTTTGTTGCGTTTGTTTTCGGGGTTTGTGTGTTGTATTTAGTTTGTATCATTTCTGTAAATGCAGCGTTTTTCTGTTGTATTTGTTTTCAGGATTTGTTTGTTTTTCATTTCAGGATTTGCAGGTGTTTCCTGCTAATGTATGCGTTTTTGGCCGTTGTTCCGCGTTTGTACCTGCCGGCCACTGTAGATTTCACTATAAGTAATCTTTTTTTTTTGGACAGACACAATAATTTACATTTTTTTACTGTGTTCAATCTGAATTCACTTTAAAAATAAAAACATCTATATTGATTCTGACACTTCTACATCCAACTCACAGGTGTAACCTTGCTTTGAGAAAAAAGATTAAATGTAACCAGGGTTCGAGTTATAAACTGAGCTCTATGGGGGTCTTTAAAACTAACGCACACAGTCACAGGCATAGATTGCGCAATAATGTATTGCGCACCTTGGAGGTGCAGACTCCAACTGATGGTATATATTGCACACCCTTGCGAGTATACAATTAGTGTCTGATGTGTTAGGGCTTCAAAGATAATGACAAAAACTCAGGAACTCTGTACTTGTGGAGCGTCACAAACAGCGCCTCCGTTTATTACGTTTTACTCTCTCTCCACAACTTAATCGTATGCTAGCCTACGGTACTCGTAGTATGTAGGCCTATGTGTGTATCTTGTCAATATATTTGAATGTCTGTTTATATAACGGTTCATTCTTCGGGCGCGCGCAGCACGTTCACAGCCTCACAGGCATAGATTGCGCAATATTTTATTGCGCACCTTAGGTGAAGTGCAGGCATATTGTCATTCAAGAGAGAATACGATGCGTAGTTATTTTGGAAAACATTGTTTTGTTTGCCTATTTACCTCGTTAACGTAAATAATACTCATTACATTGAAAAATGCATTATTTGTGATCAAAATAATGGTTGTTGGTAATGTATATTAGCTACCCCCACAGATGTTTGATTTCACTGGGTCCGTGGGAGCTCAGGCCCCTCCTTATGGGAGCTCAGCTCCCATTGGCTCCCACGTAACTCGAACCCTGAATGTAACCCTTTTAGAAGGGAAGATATGGTTATTTGTTCTGGGAATGTCATTTTCGAGCCTGAGACCTGAAAAACAGGCTCGGGGCTTAACAGGTTTTAACTCCAGTTCCTACACTTGTCACTTTTCCCCATGATATAGAGCATACCATTCAATGCTGTGTGATTTATTCTGAGTCTAGCTATCATGATTTCTTCACTTCTATTTCTTTATTTATAAATCTTAATTGTGATTGTCTTTTGAACTTTATGATACTCTTTGCCTTTCTGGTCTTTCTCCCACCTTTTCTGCCAGATCTCCATCCCTTTTTTCTTAATTACTGCTTTTCCTTCTCCTTGTCCAAGTTGAACTGGTAATGTTATTTCCTTTTGTAGTGCACTTTTTGTTAATTTATCAGCACACTCGTTCCCTTTCACCCCCTCATGTGCAGGCACCCAGCAGAACTGCAGATCTATACCGCCTCTGTGAAGTCTTAACAGGCTATGATTAAGTTCTATGAGAATGTCTTCTCTGACAGTTGTTGTTGACTGTCCATCCATCTTCTCCCGCTTATCCGTGGTCGTGGCGAGGAGGTAGCAGTTCCAGCAGAGAGCCCCAAACGTTCCTTTCCCTGGCCACATCAACCAGCTCTGACTGGGGGATTCCAAGGCGCTCCCAGGCCAGCGAAGAGATATAATCCCTCCACCTGGTCCTAGGTCTACCCCTTGGTCTCTTCCCAGCTGGACGTGCCTGGAACGTTGACTGTATGCTTTTTAATATGGATGTTACGTCCCCACTAAGGTCTAGGGGACCTGGAGACAATAACATACAACCAATAATTAATGAGGGAGTCAGCGTAACAGTTTACAAAAGGTTTATTTTCTTAACCCAGAACCGAACAGACATGTAACTGAAACCTTAGTTGGTGAGGAGGAGGAGGAGTCAAAGGATTGCGCCAAACAAAAGAAACAAGCATAACAAAACCAGGCCTATCTCTACATCTATCCTTTGAAACCAAAACTCAAACAAAAACCCTCACTAACTAAACTACAAAGACTTTGACAAAACAATATACAGGGGTGGCAACAATCCGCTAACCTAGTGTGTCTAAACATTAGTTAGCTACGTGGTGAGAAATGTACAGGGTACCCCAGACTTACCTAACTCCTCCACCTCTCAACACACTTTCAATAAGGTCAGACAATACAAAGAAATTTAGTGGCTAAATACTGCAGGCTCCTTCATCAGCAACAGGCCCAGAGTGAGAGAGCGAGAAGACTTCCTGGGTGCCTCCTTTATGGTCGGCCCTGGCTGCTGATAGGCCAGCTGAGGGTGAGAGGATCCAATCAGCCATCAGACTCAGGTGCACAGGCAGATACCGATCAGCTGCTGATTAGCTGTGCAGAAGACAGGGAGAAGAGAGAAACACAGGAGGGAAGGAAAACCACACCAGTACAGCCTGCCTGGCACGTAACAATGGACAATGAATCTGTGCATATCACCACCCTATCTGGTCTGACCTCTTCAACCCACTGTAATCCTATTATTACTGCCAGCAGTTCTGCTGAATACACTGATAATTGATCAGACGCTCTTTTTGAGATTGATTAAAGTCTGGGATGTATATACCAACTCCAACAGACTCTTCCTTGTTCTTAGAACCATCTGTGTACATTTGTAGGTAATTGTAGTACTTTTCGTTCAGGTACGTATACTCGTTTTAATTCCCACTTCATTTATTTGCCACTCTTTTTTCCTTTCTATGATACTCATATCTATGTTAGCTTCTGGGGAAATCCATGGGGGAACACGGCTAACTGGGCTTGCTTTAGCAAACGTTATGGTCGCCACTCCATATGTCCTCGTTCTCTCCTTACTTGTCCAGCCAAACCCATGCCCCTGTAACTTTATATATTCCCAGCAATCCTGTAGTATTCTGTTTGTGATATTTTCCTCTCCACTTCCTTGTAGCCTGACCCAGTATGACAGAGCAAGTTTGTCTCTTCTGATCTCCAGAGGTGTCTCTCCTGCTTCTATCAGAACTGCATTAATAGGGGATGACTTTATCGCTCCAATACACAGCCGCAATGCTGTATATTGTATTCTATCCATTTTTAAAAGCGATGTTTTTTCTGCTGCTCCATACACTATACAACCAGTCTATTGTGGACCTCATAATAGATCTGTAAATATCTATTAATGCTTGTTTGTCTGTGCCCCAGTTACAGCTCGTAATAGATTTAATACTTTTTTGCATTTTGTTTCCACTTGATTAATATGCATTTCCCATGTATATTTGCTATCAAACCACAGTCCTAGGTATTTGAACTCATTCACCTTTGTCATTGGACGATCATATAGTGTTAGCTGTTGGCCATCAATTTTGTGTTTATTTGTAAATACCATGTAGCATGACTTGCTTTCTGACATTTTGAATCCCCAGTTATATGACCACCTCTCCACTTTTTTAATCGCTCTACCTATATTCTCCATTAAGTCATTCTACCAGAAACAGTCCCAACCCAAAGAAAACAAAGAACATTCAGTTCGAAACAACTTTACTAGGAAATAATTCATTTGAGCTCTTTCAGGAAGATACACTCTATACAAGGTTACAAAATAGTTTTCTTTTTTTAAATCAACGGTTATATTAAATTGAGGGATATAGTCTGTTAAAGAATCAGTTTAGTGATATTCTGTATTTTTCTTCTAGATAGGAAATATAAACAACTTTACTAGCAACATTTTTATTTTACCCCTTTTAAGAAGAAACAAGTATATGAATCAACAGTTCATGAGAAATAAACTCAGAATAACTTTTATTTTTCTTTCACAAATGTAACAAGGTGCTTTCCAATGCTATCCTGTACCCAGCTAGCAAAACAAATCAATAACCCAAACTTAAAATATAATTTGTACTTGAATTTCTCTTTGTAGTTGCCTTGTGTGAAGTCTTTAAAACAAACACATTGTTGGTTTTGTTGTGCAAATTGTCCCAACTGTCTATTCCAACAGTATAATTTAAGGTTCAGGTTTTTTTTTTTAAGTATCAGGATTGTTTTGTTAACTTCTCTGGCTCATCTGCCGGTACAGTTGGATGGTCATGAGCTGAACTTCAGGATCTCCAGGTTGGATGTCGATAGCTCTGAGGAAGCAGCTCAATGCGTCATCAGGCTTGCCTTTGCTCTGGTACTCCTTCCCTCTCCTGACCAGGGCTTCGAAGCTCCCCTCCTCGGACAGGATGCCGTTACTGCTCAATTTGACTCCATCAGCCGTGCACTGATCCATTTGTTCGTCTGAGGCTAGCTCGGGCTCGCTGGTCGACTCCTCCATGTTGCTGGTCATTTCCTGTTCGGACTCCTCAACGTCATCTACTGACTCTGAGTACTCCTCATCATCCTCCTCCTCTCCTTGTACATCTGCCTCCTCTTCTTCCACATCCTCCTCACTCTCTGTGTCAAGGGTCTCCTCCACCTGAAGCGCATCATGAGTCGAACCAGTGAGGTCCTCTTCTGCTGCGTCATAATGCCTTTCTGAAACATCATCTTCTTCCTCCTCACTGGTAATTTCTTGGTTGTCTTTGATTTTCTCCATATCTTCGACGATGGATAGAATGAGGGATCGGTGTGAGGCCACGGAGGTGTTGCCTCCGACACTCTTTCTTGACCGAAAAGGAGTGCGGACAGATGACACCAATTTAGGTGTGGAGGCGCCAAGAACCTGAAAGGAATTGTCCAGGTGACTCTTGTCATCAACATCATCTTGATCACTGTCATCAATTATTGCTGCTCTTTTTTTCTTCTTAGTCACAATGGAGTTATCCATTGAATTGTCCATTACAGAGCTGTTGCCGTTGAAGCTTTGGTTGACTGCTTTATGTTGTTTCTCAGAAAGAGATTTATTTATGTTAAAGCTCCCCTCCATCTGCAGCTGTGACAGCAGCTTCCTCTCCTCTTCTTCAGTTTCCAGATTATCCAGTTCAACGTGGTCTGAAAGCATGTCGCTATCTTCAAGCTGTAAATTGAAGTTGCCTCCAAAGGAATCAAGCCCTGTGCTGACGTTGGTTGATGTGTCTGCTTTGAAGCTTGAAGTGGAAGCTTGCAAGACAGAAAGTCTTTTATTCTGCAGGGCTGTTAAATGTGAGAGGCCCAAGTCTGTCTTGGAATCGTTTGAGTGTGAGGTTTCGTTTGAAAGTTGTTTGTCTTCATCAACTGCTGTAAAATAGGCCATGCTGCCGTCACCTGCTGAATCATTAGCAGCCCCACACAGAGAAACCTCGTCTCTTAGTTTTGGATTGGAGGCATCTTCCATGTCACCCAATTCAGCATCACTGGTATCCGAGACCACCAGAGACTCTTCAATCACCTCCGGAGGGGAGGATTCATCGGCTACCAAGTAACTCCTCTCCTGATTAACAGACACGTGTTTTAGAGAATAAAGGTTCTGCTCAACAAGCTTGTCCTGGCTTACTTCTACGACAGGATGTTCCTCTGACATATCCTCATCTGAAGTAAGATCAACAACATGGCCACTCAGATTCTGTTGGCCGTCCTCCTCATCAGAGCCAGACTGGTCCAACTCTATCACGACTGGTGACCCGTTAGACTTACTATCATGCTGTGGATAGGAAGGACTTGGTTTTGGATTTCTTGGTTTTTTCTCATGAGTCCGCTCTCTGATGTGGTTGTCCGGTGGTTGTCTGAGCCAGGCTGGTTCTGTGTTTGATGCCATTATGTCTGCCATCTGCATCGTTAACTCTGACTCAGCCTTCATCAGCTCCTGGGCCTTCTGCACTCTCCCTTCAATGTAGTGATGGGCCTCTTGGTCTTCAGGGTCATCATCGTGGTTAACATCAAGGGAAAACATGAGGTCATGGTCAGAGATCCCAAATATCTCCATGGTGTGGAGATGGGCAATGTGTTCGTCCAGTTCCGCGTCTGTCCTTCGGTTTCCGGAGTGCAGGGATTGAAGTTGCAGCTGAGTCGATGAGGACCTTGTGTCCTCCAGGAGGAAGAGCTCTTTCAACTCCTGCTTGCTGAAGTACCTAAAAGGGTTTTTCTTGTCCCCGGTATTTTGTCTAACGAGAGAGTCTTTGAAGACCTGCCTTCTGTAGATCTTCTCCTCTACTGTGCCGCAGGTGATCAGTCTGTAGACGACAACATTTTTGTTCTGCCCAATGCGATAAGCCCTGTCAACAGCCTGGGCGTCTGTTGCTGGGTTCCAGCTAGGATCGTAGATCACGACTCGGTTTGCTGCCGTCAAAGTGATACCAACCCCTCCAACCTGGGTGGTCAGGAGAAAGACAGAGTAGCTTTTGTCTGTCTGGAACTTGGTGATTAGTCTCTCTCTCTCTGCAAGCTGAATTATTGTGCCATCCAATCTCAATACTTTAAAGCCTCTGTTGCCCAGGATGCGCTCGATGATGTCGAGCACTTTCCTGAAATGAGCAAAGACAAGCGTGCGGTGACCTTCTTCTCTGAGCCTTTGGAGAAGTGCAAACAGAAAGACGAGCTTCCCTGACTCAGATATTAAGGTCTCGTCTGGAATGTTGGCGATGGTGCATGTGCCTGTCTCCATGTTATCATTCTGCTGACCTTGAGCTGTATTTTCTTCTAAGCCCAACTTGGCTATGGCTGCAGCAGAGAGCAGTCTTGGATGGTCGCACAACTTCTTCATTATGTTCAGTTCAGCTAGAGGTGATCTGGTTGTCATGAGCAGCTCCTTGATGTGGTCCAGTGAAAGGAACTGCCTGTAAATATCTTCCTGAACAGGACTAAGGTAAGTCCAGACAATTAAGTCGTTCTTTCTAGTCAGTGTTGGCATGACTGCGCCGGAGTCTTTTGGAGTATTTTGGACCTTGCCGTCCTTGGTCTCTGAATATTCCTCTTTACAGGGAAGTTGGCCTTTCTTATTGTTTTTCTGCACTTCTGCTTTTGTCCTGCGGAGGAAGTAGGGTTTGATTATGGCCATGAGGTTCTCAGACATTCGAGACCCGAGGGCCTTTTCCCCTGGAGTGGTGTCCTTTTCTCTGGCCCGGGTGATTGGGTTCTCATACTCCGTTTTGAATGTTTTAGCTGTGCCTAAGAGAGTCCCTTGGCAAGCAAAGTCAAAGAGAGCCCACAATTCCTTCAGGTTGTTTTGGACTGGAGTGCCAGTTAGGAGAACTCTGTTTTTTGAATGTATGGCGTGGGCACTTTTGGCTGTTTTGGTAGTTGAGGATTTTATCTTATGTGCCTCATCTAGGATCATGTAGTCCCATGTGAACTCTTTGCCATTGTAAGATGACAATTGCTGCCAGTTATTCATAAGCATGGAGTACGTGGTGATGATAACACCACTTCTCCTCTGAATTTTCTCCAAATTCCTGGTCCTCTCCTTGCTCGGTCCGTGAAACTCCTTCACCCTCATGCCAGGAGTCCATTTGGCAAACTCCTTGGTCCAGTTTGTGATGAGAGAAGTTGGCATGACCAGCAATGTGTGCTTGGCCAGCTCGTTGTCATACATGCTTGAGAGGAATGCTATCACCTGGATGGTTTTACCAAGGCCCATGTCATCTGCCAAGATCCCACCTTTACGTCCATCTCTGCAGAGACTGTACAAGAAGGCGACTCCATTTCTTTGGTAGTCATAAAGCTTGTCATACAACTCTTTGAAAAGCATTAAGCCGCTGCCGTTAACATTCACAAACTCTTCATCTTCTTCCTCTGAGTCACTCTGAGCAAGAAGTTCTTCCATTTGCTTTATCCGGCTTTCAAGTTTTTGACTCTGGTGAATTTTGTACGCCAGTTTGAAAAACTTCAGCGCTTGGTTCATGTCGCCTTGTCTGGCAACATCTTTTCCCTCTTTAATGAATCTGGAAGAAAAAAGACAAGAACATCAGAGAATATTTAATTAAAAAATAAATGTAGTCTGAAGAAGAGCTGCCACTAAAGTATTTACAATTTATTTTATTTATATATATATATATATATATATATATATATATATATATATATATATATATATATATATATTAGGGCTGTCAGTCGATTAAAATATTTAATCGCGATTAATCGCATGATTGTCCATAGTTAATCGCACATTTTTTATCTGTTCTAAATGTACCTTAGAGGAATATTTTTCAAGTTTTTAATACTCTTATCAACATATGAGTGGACAAATATGCTTTATGTAAATGTTTATTATCATTTGAACAATGACAAATATTCTCATGAATATTAAACACAACAACCTCTGAACATTACAAATATTCGCCTCAATTCAACCTGGAACCTCTCTCATTCAATAATACAATACAAAGTGTGTGTGTGTGTGTGTCATACTTGCCAACCTTGAGACCTCAGAAATTGGGAGCATTTCAAAACCACCGCGGGTGGGGTGGGGGGGGGGGGTGCTATGGATCGCCGGAGCTGTATTAGCTTAACATGCTTATTGTAGTTGTAAGTGCACTGTCTTGATGGAGCATATGTGTGGGCTGGACCTATGTTATACAGGAAAGGAGTGAGCAGGGGGGAGTTTTGTCGATTCTTGTTCAGTTTTCTGTGACTTATCTTCCTCACCCTCTCAGACTTTCAGTTGCGCGCGCTACTAAAGAGACGCGCTACCATGGAAACCAAACAATGGTGTAGCTGTATTAAACTCAGAGTGGAAACAGTCGTGAGTAAATCCAATTTAGTCAGAAATCGGGAGAAATATGACCCCGGGAGGAAACCGGGAGAGGGCAATGAAATCGGGAGTCTCCCGCGAAAATCGGGAGGGTTGGCAAGTATGGTGAGTGTGTGTGTTCGTTGGAGCTATGTGCAACTCAAGGCATATGCTCGAACGGGAGCTGCCTGTACGCTGCAATCATGTTATGCGCACTATCCGTGCTGAGTGTGCTGACCTTTCGTACAATGTCCCACTGTCTGGCTTTCTGCATAAAGTCAAGTGCTCGACGCAGTTGTCGGCGAAATGTCGCTCCTCTGTTTTCATTGAAACAGCTCCTTATATCCGTTAGCGCAGCTAGCTAGCACCAGATGCTAACAACAACAATACACGTAAGGTCTCGCTCGAGCCACACATACACACACACCCTCCCGGTCCTCCCGATGGCCAGTCGGTGCCTGCCGGTGAGCGTGGAAGTGTGGTCTGCCACAAGCAGGCAGCAGGAGCGGGGGCTGTCAGCATCAGCTTGTAGATGGTATTTTAAACTCGATGCGCTCTGAAACTACAGGGCCGCGAGGAAAAAAATACACATGCGTTAATCGCGTTAAAATAATTAGTGGCGTTAATTTTTTTGTGTGTTACCGCGTTATTAACGCGTTAACTTGACAGCCCTAATATATATATATATATATATTTTTTTTAAATTATCATTTTTTTTACATACATAGCACCTGTCACTTTTCACATTGAACATGTGTTCTTTTATTAAATAAACTAAACGCTTTCATTTTAAGTTGTGAGTTGTAGTATTTTTGACCCTAAGAAACATTGATGCATTAATCATTAACAATAATCCACAGCTCCTCTCTCTGCTCCAGAGGATTACAAAATAATAATATCCCAATGCCAGTCTTTACACATCATAATAATTGAACAGTTTTAAAGTTTCTCTTTCTTTTCCTCTTATATTGCAGTCCCTCACTCACTTTTTTTTGTTCAGTGCGAGAATTGAGCTCGAGCTTGTCCTGCCAGGAGTTTAAATCTGGGCTGAAATGGTGTCAGTGCCATTCTCATACACATAGCCTTGGTTAGCCTGCCCTGGAACGATATTTAGTTTTAATTTTGATCCTGGTGGACTGATCATATTGGGCTCTGAGACTTCTTATTTTTTGTGACCTCAGTTCTGACTTGAGAGGGAATGTTTGGTCAAACACTTTGTGTTTTGTCTCATAGTGGCACTTTTAATGAGCGCCACGGTCTCTGAACAAATGAGACACGCTGGTCCGTCCACTCGGGGTTAAAAGCTCTGTTCTCACTGTCCACTTTCCTCTTCTTGGAGAGCGCCATGTGTAATTATTTGTCTCTCCCTGTCTGCCGCTAACACGCCTGTTCACTCTCCTCTCCGCTTCTCTCCCTGTATCGCTAATTATTCTCTTCACTCACTTTCCTCTCCGCTTCTCTCTGCCGCTCTCTCTCTCGTCTCTTCTTCTGCGTTTCTCTCTCATCTCTTTCGCCCCCTGTCGGCGGCGGTTAAAATAGAATCGCCCTGTCAAAATTGAAATCCCCTATTAATGTATTGATTATAGGTCCGGATCCGTATAGGTCGGCGTCTGGGTCCGGACCGCGGTCTGCCTGTTGCCGACCCCTGCTTTACGGCATCCTTATATTTATAAAAAATGGTGGCAAAAAACTGTTTTTGTAATTGTGGTTATATCATTGTAATTTATGATGCTGTTAGATCATAGAAGATAGAAAATGTATAATAATATTATTTTGAAAGGCTCAACATAATTTTGGATTGAAGAAGAGTATTACGTTTGATTAAAACCTTCAGAATTGTAGTTAATGACTACTTTTGTATGTTCTTTGGACATTACCATGCTCTGGCAGTCTATTATATAGAAAATACAATTATTATTATTATTATCATACAAGTGTAGCCTTAGCCTTTGTGTCCCACCCTGACTGAAATAAAGAGCGGTTCTGCTTATGTAATAATTTTTTTAAGTAACATGATATCAGACTAAAGGAGTTTTACGGAAACACCTCCACTATTCAATTTCCTTTTTAACCAGTGTATTTATAATAACCTTTAGAGCAGGGGTCTTCAACGTTTTTCAGGCCAGGGACCCCCAAACTGATGGAGAGCTGGAGCAGGGAGCCTCCTACTATATGTATGGCATACAATTGTGTTTTATATTAAACGGGGCCTAGTGCCGTGTATAAACATAGCTACTCTGTTATTGTACATTCAATACTAAGCTATTCAAATAATACACAGGTTAATATATTCATGTTTTTATTTTAAACATGTGCAAGGTACAGGGTGGCCGTGCCACTGCCATTTATAAACATACATCTTGAACACAACACAGAGCTATTAAAATAATTCACAGATTCAAGTTTTAACTTCAAACAAGTGCAAGGTACAGGGTGGCCATGCCACTGCCATTTATAAACATACATCTTGCATACAACACTGAGCTATTCAAATAATTCACAGATTTTAAACTTTAAACATACATGTAGAAGGGACAGTGAATCCTCAAACCATCTGTGGATGGCACACGTACTCCCACATTAGTGAGATGTCTGACCCTGATGAGTAGCACACAGCTTATCTAACCTTGGACGGATGGAGGTTGTCAGGCAGAGGGTCATATCCAGGGGTGCACATAACTTTTTTGCCCTGGTTCTCAAAGGAGCACCTGGAGATATTGCTTGGTGCTCATCCTTAAAATGAAATAAACCGTAACTTTTGAGGGGGTCTTGACTTTATTTGCCAGACACACGGCACTGAACACACATGCAGAGGTGAACACTGAACACACATGCAGAGGTGAACACAGAACACACATGCAGAGGTGAACACAAGACAACATTAGCACGACCAGTAATCCTACAAGCATCACTACCCTCCTGACTGTTCTCCTCACTGTCTTCCTCTATGTCAGACATGGTAGCTGATGATGTAGGCCTACTACTTTCTCTCTGGTTGAGTCTGCGATTAGATACTTGATTCCACAAGTCAACAGCTGCTTTTGGGTCGAAAGTCTCTGTTGTCATCTTAGAAAAGTGGATGTAATCAAATAAGTATGTGAACATAACCAATAGCCTACTATAGCCAATAACAAATTAATGTAACTTATTTTATTTGTGTTGTTCATTCATATCTTATTTTTACCTTAACATTTATTTATTTATGCATTTTTTTTTATCTCTCCAGTTTTAAAGGATATTTTTGGTTACTGTCCTATAGTATATACATTGGAATGATTTAAAACCTGTTTATCCCAATAATTATAAAGGAGTGCCTTGAAAATATGTGTTTACATAAATTGTGACCAAACCGTTTGAATTTAGACTAAGAGTCCTTCACCTCACTGAGCTGTAGTTAACTCATCAGCCTCTCAGTCTGACTGGAGAGGACTCTCCCTCCACATTATTGTAGAAACATCTTCTTCTTATCTCCGTTAGAGCAGCTAGCACGGCACCAGATTATAATAACAACAGCGCTGGTACCACCCTCCCTCTCTCCCTCGCATTTTGTCTGTGAGCTGCGGGCGCCAGATAAGCCAACATCCCCCATTTTCATCACTTACAGCGCCCATCGTACAGGGCAAATGAAACGTGGAACCGGGGTGAAAAGGGTGTTACATTTACTTAATTGTGAATATTGTTACATCAAGGCCGAAAATTAGGATGAGCCCCAACGGTCAAAATGTTTTTTTCCCTCCCAGAACTGCCAGCGCAGCACCTCCCCAGATCTGGCGCCCTAGGCGAACATCTAGCCAGTGCTACCGGCCGGCCCTGAGTTCATATCATGGTTCATATGCAACTCGCAAATATCTTTCTCTCTCATCTCTCCTCTATTTTCTCTTTTCCCTTCTCTCTCTCCCTCTCTCCCTCTCTCAATGTTGGTACGCAAATGCGCTTTGTTTCAAATGACCCGGTGCTCTTTTTTTTGGCGGAGGTGTGCATGCGCACCAGTTATGTGCAGCCCTGGTCATATCAGCCCTCAGGCTGCAGCCTTGACCTGTATTTGTTTTTCAAGTAAGTGAGTGAGGAAAATCCACTTTCGCAAAGATAGGTTGTTGCAAAGGGCAAAAGGCTCATCATAGCTTTTCCTGCCAATTGCGGAAAGTCTTTCTGGCAAGAGATCCAGAACTGGGTGAGTGGTTTTGTGTCATATATGTGTCTGAACGTACT